AAGAAAGAAAGAAAGAAAGAAAGAAAGAAAGAAAGAAAGAAAGAAAGAAAGAAAGAAAGAAAGAAAGAAAGAAAGAAAGAAAGAAAGAAAGAAAGGAAAGAAAGGAAAGAAAAGAAAGAAGAATGACAAAACAGGTTTCATCCCATGGGGATTTTTCTCCAGTTCTTTCTTACTTTATTTTAACAAACAAATTTGCCAAACTCCAGATTTTGCCAGGACTTTCCACTGAACAACTCTGAATTTGTGTGGGTAAATGTTTTTGTTTAACCACAATGGTAATCAGTGATGGTTATCACTTTCTACTTAGTCTGGAAGCAGAAAATCCCTGGCTTCCTGAGGACAAACATACTCTCCCAGAAAAGACCCATGAAGAACACCAACTGTAAGAATACTGTGTTAAATGAGCTAATAAGGGGGTATAGCATAAGACATATGCATGGTACAGTTTTTGCAGCTTTCAGCATTTCACTCAATTCAAATATGTCATTAACATTGCTTAAAGTTTGAGACAGCACTTTATAGCTTTTAAGTATCACCTTTTCGTGCAAGTAGATACTCTTGAATGATGTACAAGAACAGCAAATGTGGAGCTGAATCAAAGCACATAACATAAGAGCAGTACCACACCAGAGGTATCAAGACTCCCTCCCATTTTCAGGCTGTATATGCTTATTACACCAACCTACCTATTACAAAGTCAGATTGCCAAGTAAGTGTAAATGCCATCATAGCCATAAAACATTACTGTACCAGGGCCACTACATTCTAGTGTTCTCTTTAGGACCCACCTGCTAGCTTGAAGACAATAATCCAAGCAACAGACTATCAACACTAAACTCAAAACACTTTAGGACACTGAAGAAAGTTAGATATCTGTAACTTGCAGCTTAACACGGCCTTAGTTCAAGAGCGTCTGTCCACAGCACTCGCGGGCCACCACAACTCTGACAAGTCACCTAAATATAGACCTCTGACTGGTGTATCATTTCATTTCACACAGGACTAAATAATATCCTACAGAAGTGGCATGTCCAAGTCCTTAAAATACAAAACAAAAAAACCCAACTCAACACAAACTCGCATATGAACCATAAACTGGCAGTGACTGCAGCTGCATTATAATAAACCTGAAGTGCAATAATTTGGCAGTAGATGATGGCAGATGAGGTCTATTATCAATGAAGGCTGTACAAGGTAAAGTTCAGAGAAGCATCAGGTACTGAAAGAAAAGTGAACCAACCCAATGTTATGATGAAGTTATGCTTTTCATTATTTTCTGTGACAAATAACTGACTCTGGTGCAGTGGTTTTCCTATTAAACAAGGTCAACAAGGTGTAATATAAGTAGGACATAGTATATAAAAATTGGAAAGGCAAATGCTCATGCTGCTCTAAATATGCCATTTCCCAGCTTTTTTTTCCTATTCTGGACTGCATGATGCAAATGCGCCAGATTGGTCACTTAAAATACACCGTGCCGGCTATGAGCACAGAAGCCCCACTCACCAGTGGGTGAGCTTTCTTCTTCCAATCACAAGAAGGCTTGCTAAAAAGGGCAGTGAGAAGAGGGACACCAGCTCGTTTCCAACAATGGATGAGCTGAGGAGCTGCACCAAGGTCCAGTATATGATAAATAGGAATTATTCTGAACTCTCAAATCATAAAACTACATTAGTAACATAGAACAAATATATGGTGCTGACAAAACTGAACTTCTGTAAACCCCACACCACAGTAATGTAATGGTTGATAAGCCAAGAGAGACTTTGTAGCACAAGCATTCATAGTAGCCAGTTCATTTTTACTAGTCTGTAGCCAATGTTGCAGAAGAGCTTTCTAATTATTGCGAAAATGTATCTAAAGGTTGCTTTGCAGTGGAAAGCAATATAGACTGATAGTAATGTAGAATAATATGGCCTTTTTTTTAGTATCATGATTTATCTAAAACACTGACTGCTCTTTTAGACACATTTAAATGCTTAGTCTCACATCACCACTCACCTATGTTAAAGATTGATAGCTGCGACATCATTGGAACTTTAATATCGATTCCATCGCCCCGGGTGAAGGTCCTCATCTTGGTGTTCTCAGGCTGGAAGCGAGACTTCCACAAGCCTTTGAAGTAGATGGAGTTGACAACGACCAGACGGGTCAGAGCAGGATCCAGCATGTCTGCTTTGATCAAGCTGGGGATGTGACCTGGATAAACATAGGAGCATTATTCCATCAGCAAGGTTTGATTTAAAAACCCACACGTCATGTCTTTTGTATTTATTTTGAGACAGAGAAGGTAAAACTGTATCACCATGTAGGGGCAACCAATCAATACAGCAGAAAATTTAGTGCATTAACAAGTCAGACGTTTTAGAACAGTCCTGCAGTATTTTCAATGTGTTCATGCAGAAAAGGAAAACGATCTTGTAGGTGACAATAAGCCTTGTAGCCAAGTATACAAAAAGTCCAAAACATGGATGCAGAAGTCTCCCCTTCCTTAGGTAAAACCAGTCCTTCTGCACCCACTTTAGGGAAGGAATGCCTACACTCTGAGACTCAACTGCATTCAAAGATGGAAGTTTAGTTTCTGTATACAGCTATAATTGACAGCCACTGTTACCTTTGGTTTTATTGTTGACCCACTCATTAATTTCATCGGCTGCTGCATCAGGGCTGCTGAAGTCCAGGCTCCTGCTCTGACACTGGAAGTTCTCTTTGTTGGAAGTCACAAAAGCCTCCTGCATGGGGAAATCCTTCTGGCTGAACATAGCATTTGCGATCAGCACGATGTCCTGGTTGGCTTTGCCCGTCAAGTTCTTATGCAGCTTCTTCAACATCTTGTAAGGACCTGTGCAAACCAGGTAAACTTGTAACTGTTCCTCAACACCACCCAAGGTTTTTATACGTTAGGCTAAAATTTGTAGGACTCCGAAGACATCTATAGCCTGAAATAGTCCTTACCATTTTTCTTGTAACGGAGAGCATTAAGGATTTGCTTCCTCGTGTCCCCGTGGGCTCCAGATAACAGCATGCCAAGGATTGAAGCCACCCCATGAGGCGAGAGCACCACATTTTCCAGGGGCTTGGCATGAACTACTTGCTGAAACACCTGGATGCCGAGATCAGAGCCCCTTTCACCATAAGATGGTGCTTGGGATAGCACCCCCTTATGGCTGCACAAGGCCACCAATGCACAGAGGCACAATAAGGACATGTGCTTCATTTTGATACTTGCAACACCTACATAAACATTAGGAGAGGCAATTAGGATGACATTTATTTTACTTGAAGTCATCTACCACTGTATGCATTTTTAAAACCACTTCCATAATAGATGGTTGTGACTCGTGAATAAACACATATACCTTTACTCCCTCTTAAAACAGCAAAATCATTCATCCAGTGTTGCAAGGTCTGACTAACTCTTACTCACTGTGTCTAAAGATCACAAGCTATCCCTAGCCAGAACACTTGAACTGCACCCTTCGTTCCTTTTAATTTGAGCTCATAATAAGATTTAGGACCATTTTGGGGAAAATGCTTCAGCCTAAAACTGGCCACAAGAGCCAGACTCAATTCTCGGTGGGGACTTACTGAAGAGGTGCAGTATTTGCAGTGTGAACATAAATTAGGGCAAGTTGTATAGCTGCCACGTTTATTCACCAACTGGGGCGTGCTGTTAATAATAATAATAATAATAATAATAATAATAATAATAATAATAATAATAATGTTGCTGAGAAAATACGGAAATGGATTTAACATGCAGTTTTCAAATGATCAACCAGAGTGCTTTTATAAAACATCGTGTTCAGAAGTTTGACGCACTCCAAATCAGCACTCAGCCACAATATTCCGCAACTGTATCTGGTGAGGAAATCGCAGGAAGCGTGAACATTAACTTATTAATTTGTGCAATAGAGGTGACCCCCACCCGTCAAACATTTAAACAACTACCAGTCCAGTTTTAAAGTGCTTGAAGAAAAACAACAAAAACAATACAAAACAGGTCACGTGAACACAACTACAATTATGCAGAACGACAATTAACTTCCCTTTGGTTCTTTGAAAAAACAAAAACGACAAAATATTTTCCCGCTAGGATGCGGGCATGTTTTCTTATTTTATTTCTTTGAATTAGATGCAATGCTTGAAGTCAATTAAAATAGCTACGTGTGTTGACGCTTAAAAAATAAAATTCCGTTAAAAAAACAAAACAAAAAACAAAAACAAAAACAACCCCCCCCACACACACACACACACACAAAAACGCTACTCCTTACCTAACCCGAGGGGCTTCGATTAGACTTGTCCCGCAGGTGAAATTGCAGCTGGTATTAGTCCGCTTTTTCGCTGCCGTTCAAACGACAACTCAAGTAGTTAACCCCCAAAGTCCACGAAGAGAGATCTTACTCTGGAGAAAGTTACACCTACTAGTGACTCCACCGCAGTTCCAAACAAGAATTTATCCTACTGTGAACCCCGCCTTCCAACCGAGCAGCCGACCATAAAACAGACATCCGTGTCTGTGTCAAACACGGATGTGCGTCCGCTACACTTTCAAAGTAAAGGTCAGCAAAAACCCTAAAGATTGTCGTTTTTAAACTCTCATAATTTAAAATGAGATGTATCCTCATAATTTAACAAAGTTGTAGCTCACATTTCTCCGATAAGCAAAAGGAGATTAGATAATGATTACCTTCATGAAGCTACTTCCGGTGATGGCTTGGCCATCCAACTTGACACATCAGGAAGTGTGGTAATGTTTAAAAGCAGTATGAAACGTGCAAAAATAGCGGTTTGTCATATGAAATGGAGAATTACGGAGAGCCTACACTTTACCCTGATGAATATCAACATCATCAAAAACTGTCAATTACTACGTAGTCCCTTTCAAAGTGTCCCTAAATATTTCTAAGACTAACTATTGCTTAGTCTTTTCCAGTTATATTTATCCAAACTACATTTCACAGAGAATTTGGAAAATATATGCCCATACGAGAATTTTTTTTTTCTTTCTGATGGGTGTATGCAGCTGGAAAGTGTCTCACACACACACTTAAACACACCTGAGAAGAGGCTGAGTTGCAATTACATCCCTGCTACTGCCAAAGTGAGGATTAGGAGTAGGTTACTGAAGGTTTGAATTACAGGGGATTAAGGGGGAGTGTGTGAGTAATTACTGCTAAAGACATCATAAATGTTTACCTCGACACACTGGACAGTGATCTGTCACATAACCTTATAATTCACTTGTATATTTTTTAGGTTGAACCTTGGGTTTAATAAGTTCCTTTCCCAGCCTCGAGTAAATAACTAGATCAAGGCTGTAAAAATACAACATGGGACACCCACAGTGGGGCTGCGTTCTGAGCTACAGCTTTTGCTGAGTGTGTGTTTGGAATGGGGAGGGTCCTCCATGTCCAGATGCAGAGATGGGACTGTTATCATTGTTAGGCAAAGTGGGTCATTTTGTCTGAGTTGGGAGAATTCTGAGAAGGTCAGCGAACCCACAGCTGTGCACTACAATTGTGTCTTCCTACGTCTCTCCTCTTACTCATTTTTAAGCCAAACCCATCTACTTAAAAAAAAAAAAAAAAAAAAAAAAAAAAAAAAAAAAAAAAAAAACATACCGTAAGAACACTGCCACCCAACCCCATTGTGCAACTTGAAGCCTGAGATGTTTCCAGTGCACCTCTCTCTGGGCCAAACTAGAGATGATAATCACGCTTCTCCTGCTGGGTTTTAAACACTCTTATCAAACACAACTAAACTTTTGTTGAACAAAACCAGATGTGTGCATGTTTATGGAACACAAAGACATGAAGTGGAGCCATTTCTCATCAAATTCCCAGTTAAAAAGGTTTTGCAGGTTCACTGCTGCCCGTTTAAACAGGACTCTCATTCTTCTGTTGAAGTGAAAGGTCGATAACCTTGGTTTTGAAAGCTTGATTAATGTTTTAAAGGCTTCTGGGGAAGCTGAAGTTTCTCAGTGCCAAAAGCATTTTGTTCAGATTTAGCGAGTGCTGTCTCCAAAAGCAAACAGCTTTTCCACACGAAAATTGATTAACTACAGCAATTATCCAGGCTACCGATGACTAAACCTAATAAATCAATTATATGCCTAGGAGAGTTAAACCTGACATTATAAACTCACTAAGAAAAACTGTTCTAATTCTGCAAGATTACATTTTTGAAACAAAGTACCCACAAATACAAGAAATAATTTAAAAAGAAAAAAGAAAACTTTATTTATGAGCTCAAAACCTGAACTTGGACCTAAAGATTCTTGTGCAAAATAGAATTTCAGATCAACCAGAAATTTGGCAGGAAGCTAAGCACTCTTCTCCCACTCTCAGTGACCTGAAAGTATTACGCTTCAGTTGCAAAGCCACTGCTGGCTTATTTAGCTCTCAGTCATTGCTTCAGCCACTGCTGCAGAAGTAAGGAGATGTGGTCACGGGCCAGGGTCAGCTGTGGGGGATCGTCACTCCTGGCTGGGTACATGTTGGCGCAGTGAGAGGTTCCTGGATCGGGGAAAGAAAAAACAGTGGATAAGGCATGCAAAAGAGACAAAAAAGAAAAAATATAGATGGAAACAAGACTTCCAAGCACAATTAACCAGCAAATAAAATTAGAGTTGAACAAGTAAAGCATTGTTCTACTCTGATTTAGCCGTTTGGCTTATGTAATGTAAAGCATCCACAAACATAGTTCAGTCCCAGTGTGGACTTGTGTTTAAAAAAAATAAATAAATAAAATAAAAATATCAGTGCAATCTGCCGTACAGTTTGTAAGGTGTTTACTTAAAGGGGACCTCACTTCCAGCTTCACTGTTATATTGTCAAACTCTGTTTCCATGATTCACAGTTTAAAGAAATCTTTATCTTATGTGGGGCCTCCACTTCTACAAGCCTGCTGTTCCTTTGAGCCAACCTCTGACTGGCTGTCCCTCACAAACAGAAGATCTAAACAGCAGGTGGTTGTGGCTTCTGTGTTCACAGCCATAGATGTATACCTGAGATGACCATATCCAGGACCACCGCTCTCACAGACATCATTTAAAAAAAAAAAAAAAAAAAAAAAAAAAGACAATAGGGATGTTTAGAGCAGTGTGCAGCCCGACCTTTTGGTTAACAGGGATTATTTGGACATATGCTGATCTCATGATTTGAAACAGACATTCTCCCCACAAATGTGTATCCAGAGTGTAAAACAAACTTAACATAAAAATTCATTATGCATCATTTTTGTTCACCTTTGATGAAAATCGCAGGTAGGTCAGCTGAGATGTCCTGGGTGACCCCCAAGGCATGCCAGGGGTCAATGGAGCCATTGGGGAACACAATTCTGCTTGAGCGGATGTCATAAGCGCCGTAATACTCATTGCTCTGTGTGACAGCCTCTGCCACCTGCTCAGCACTGATGTTGTAAAAGTTTGTACACTGTTTCAGAAAATATCTGGATGGGAAGAAAAAGAAAAAACCCCAATAAGAATGACAACTGAATATGCAATTAAATGTGTGAGCTTTACTGGCCATGTTTGGTGTACTCACACAAGAGGGAAGCCAGCGAACGGCTGGTTGGGTGAATCAGTGCTCTGGTAGAATCCAAATTCAGCACAGGTCTGGTAGACCCACTGTCTCCCTGTCAAGACATACACAAAAATCTACCCATGAACAGCATGTTCATTTCCTTGTTAGCATTATACACACTATGTTATTAGAGCCAGCATTTCTAATAATTATCTTAAAATCACCTTGATAAAAAAAAAAAGTATTCATTTTCAGTTATTCAGCCATAATAAATACAGGAAACAACTTGACTGGAGCCTCAAGACAAAGAGGTGGGCAGGGAAGTTTATGCAAGCGCATCCCAAAGACTTTTCAAAGAGACCACATCCTGTTCCTGTGACCCTCCACCCCACCCCTCCCACTGATGAAGTCTGAGCTGACAACAGAAACATGCGACCCTGGACAAAAATGCCATTTTTACTACAAAGTTATATATGTGAGCCCAACATCATGTGTGCATTTCTTCTTCTATATTGTGTGCAGTATAAACCACGGGTGTTAAAGGGGATGCAGTGGTGCCAGATTCACTTCCCTGTTTTTAAACACATCTCCAGTGTGTCTTTAGACCGACAAATGGAATAGATTAACTCAATATTTCTTTTCTCTGCACAAAGTCTCTGAACGAGCTATTGTGGTTTGCAGCCAGTTGTGATTCAGCACAGGTAAAAGCACCACCTCCAAGTAGAAAAGAACTGAGCTCCTGAATTCAGACCTAGCAGCTCACTTGTGTTCCGTTTGCTTTGGCATATAAACCTACAAAAACAAAGCGTGACGGCATACATAGCCACGGCAAAAGGAATGACTCGTATGACACTTTTGGCTGGAACTGGAAAGATATTCTGGGGCACATGTCGGGCTTAATTTAACTTTTTAAAAAGTGGATACAATATAGGAACTTTAAACCCTCGTGAAAACTTCGTTTAGAAAAAGCAGCATTATTTTGGGATGTTATGCCAGGATTTATTTAGTAGTAAAGTTAAGCAATACTCCCGAATTAGCTTTTTTCCTTTTATTTTGGTTGTTCAAATCCTTCCATCAGCATAGTAACCACATGCCAGAACAAGCCTGTGACTGTTCTATTCCATTTCCTAAGGCTACTGCAGTGCTCCTGAATTATTGTTGGATGACGGTGGAAAGTCACGATGAGACGTGACAGTTTCCCTTAAGTGCAACAACAAAAATAAACTACTCTACTAACAAAACAACAAAAGACAGCCTAAAATTGCAAGGTACAGAAATATCTGTTTCATAAGGACCACAAGCTAAAGCTAAATAAAAATGACCAAACCAAATACCACTTCCAAGGAAGACGCGTCCACACCCACCTGCTATTGGAGCTGGTCCATCCCAGGATGTGTTAGTCATGTCGCTGACGTATTTGCTGAAGCTAGTGTCCAGGCATTTCATAGAGGTGGTCTCCATCATGAGACGGGCCACAGCTGCGTATCTGGCGTAAGGGTCTCCCAGTGAGCTGTCAGTCATCACACTACACAGCACCTTGATGGTGATGTTGGTACCAGTAACACCCTTTAATGACATATCACAGCACACCACAAGGAAAAGAAGATTGTTAGGATGACATAGAAACACTGTTTTCTCAACATTGATGGCAAGATGTGCAGTTATATTATTTTAATTTTTCAGAGCGGCTACTGTGGGTTATTATACCCTTGACCAAAGTTTCAAATAAATCAGTGTTTGCACAAATACAGGGAGGGACGGTGGCGCCGTTGTTAGGACTATCACCATACCGCACCACTCAAGGCCACACACCTGACCAGGGTGTACCCCACCACCTGCTGTGTGACAGCTAGGATAGGCTCCAACCCCTGAATTATTTAAGTGGAAGAAAATAGATGTGGAAATAATCTCTGAGCCATAACTTTAGGCTTTAGTTTGTCATATAAAGCCAAGAGTGAGGGTGAAAAAAAAACAAAAAACAGAGTCACAGAGAGAGAAAACCCTAATATGGTCACAACTAGCTGCAAGACCAGATTTAAGCTCCTACAATACAATACAGAGTGTATAAGTGGATGTGAATAGGATGTTAATCCCCATCCTAAAAGGTGGTCCCAACAGAAAGTGGCAGTTTTTCCAATGGTTAAGTAGATGAAGTTTGGTCAGCATTTGTCAAACACTAAAACGCATGCTGGTATGGCACAACACTTGAGCGAGAAGTTGTGTTTGGAAAAGCAAACACATTTAACCCCCCTCCCACCCCACACCCCCCCAAAAACAAAACACATGATCAAGGTTGAATTAGAAATTATTTTGACTTTGACATTACCAGAAGGTCCAAAACAGCTCTTGAAAGGACCTTGCGGTGTGATGGCCTTTTAAATATTTTGTACAACCTCAAAAAACATAACATGAATATTTATTCATTTCATATGTGGACAAGGGCAGGGTATTTTAGAGTTCCCAGATGGTGACACTGAGATGAGGCCAACTGGCAAGAAATCCATCCTGTGAATCAGTTCCTGTAATACACACTAACCAACAAAGGCTCTTGTTGCTAATGCGCTCCACCTTTAAAAGGACAAATATTATCTTCACCCAATCCATCCAATAGTTGTGATATTGCATTCTTAGACAAAGTAGTGAACAAAAAAAAAAAAAAACAACTTTAACTGTGAGGTGATAGTAGCAAGAATACCTAGGCACACAGGCCAGCAGCATGAAGTGAGAGAGTTCGCCCCCAGGCATCTTCTAACAACATGCAAGAATGTCTTCACAGAGCACTCTGGGATTTAAGGCGGTGAGAGACTCACTAGCAGCTTGACAAAAGAAAAAAGCTGAAAGTTAACTAAACCTTTCATCTTATGCAAATGAGAGTTAACTCTTGGCAGTTGTGTAGTGTTTCGCATATAAAAATTAAGCCGCAGAATAAGCCAGTAAGTTTATGTTTTACAGTCTGGATACACATCTGTGGAGGAAAATATCTGTGTTGCATTTTCAGTGGCCTGTTCTCTTTGGACAAAC